AAACCGAAAGGAAAAGGAAAGCGTTCGCAGCACAAGATCCCAGGCACTTCTTGGGTTGCTCATGCAAGCCATTCGATGAGTGGTTTTGCAGCCTCTTTCATCTCCTTGTCGACGGCGGGGTCCACTTTGGAGACGGGGGCTTCCTCATTGCCCCACTCCTCAATGGTTGTGCTCTTAAGAACCCCCTCAATGAAGAGGACAAACAGGGCCACCACCATCTGGTCCGGCTTGTACCGCCGGGCGCAAATGCGAGCGCACTCCTCAACGGTGGCAGACTGTAGCCGTTTTTCGCGCTTCAAAATGTCCGTCTTTGTCGCCTCGTCGGTGGCGGCGTCCAGCAAAGCGGTGCCGGTGACTCGGCAGAAACGCTTCAGCAGCCGTGAATGGTGGCGCAAACCTGCCATAAATCCCTTTTCTGCCAGCTCGATGGCATCAAGCACAAGAAGGGGGCCCATTTTCTCCTTTAGGTTGTAAGCCGTCATGAGCTCCATGCAGCGTCGCATCACCTCATCGCTCTCATCCGGGTACTGCTGCATGTAACGCGCAAGTATTTTTTGCGGCGGCTCGCGTTTATCCTCAAGATCAGATCGTTGAATTTGCCTCTTTGTAGTTTCAGTAGGAACCGCTGCCGCTGCCGCCGCTGCTGCTGCTGCTGCATGGTGCGTTTTCTCGCCAGCACGGGCCTCTGCTGTACCAGCACCCTTCTTCATTGCCATCTGTGGATTCTTGGCAAAGTACGTCACAATGGCAGTCACATAACGTGTTTCGAGATCACTTAGCTTCATCACTTTACCGCATGCGCCGCATGACATGCTAATATATGGAGTTTTCTTGGTGGTTTCGACCACAAGTTGCGTTTCAGGATTTCTACAGTTACGGCAGAGAACGAACTTGCGAATAAAGTCGTAAATTTTCTCCTGCACACGCTCCTCTGTGTGACTTCCCATGATGAGGAACTTATCATCCTTTTCTAGCACCGTGCGCTGAGCACCAATTTCGGACTGAAAGAACTTCATGAGCACTTCCTCGGGGCGGTTGATGGCAAGACACACATCGTGGATGTTTGGGAACACCGTCTTGATACCGTTGCCACTGCCCTCCACCTTCGTCTGGATGGTGGGCATCTTGTAGCGGTAGTATATGTCGTCCCGCTTATCGGGATCAATGGGTATCATGGGGACCGACATTGCCGCCGACTGTGTGTGTGTGCGAGTGTTTAATACCTCTACGAGGTGATGGGTGGGGCACGGGTTCAACAACAAGAAGAGCAAATAAATAAATAATAGAATAGAATAGAATAAAATAAAATGGAGGGAAGAAAACAGAAATAAAAGCAAAGGAAAAAAAAAAGATGTGGAGGGTGAAAGTTGTGAAAGTGCGGCAAACGAGGGGCGAAACGTTCACCCCGAGAGTGCACGGGACCGTGGCAGGCGAAAAATGAGCAAACTCCCAAACCCGGAAACGCTCAAGCAATGTGAGCAGGCAAGGTGCACACACACACACACACGCACACGTGTATGCATGCATGTGTGTGCTCGTAGGGAAGAACCGAGGTGGCGGTGCGGAGAGAGTGGGATGAGGCGCTGCTAACAAAAGCGCTGCAGCTCCGCCAGCACCTCCTCCGCTCTGTCGCAGACGGTCAGCAGATGCAGCAGTGCGGCCGGGTTCATCGCCTCCGTCGCCGCCTTGGCTTCGCACGCCGAAAAGAGCGCCGCAAATCGGGCTCGCAGCGACGGCGTGAGAGGAGCACTGCAGTAGTGCTCCACGAGCTCCATCGCGGATGCCGCGGCGAGGGCGCCCAGGTGGATTGCAAGCGTCACGACGCCGGGCTTCCAAAAGAGCTCGGGCAGCTTCTCCGGATAATTTGTTGTGAAGACGATCACACGCCCCGAGGGTGCAAGAGTGGCGTCCAGGGCGGTGAGTACGCCCTCAGGCGAGAGGAAGTCCGAGGCCAAGAGCCTGCGGTATTTCTTCAGGGCGCCCACGGAGAAGCGGCAATCGGTGGACTCCGCCTGCGACTCCGAATCCGCCCTTCCCAAGTCACTCCCCGTCTTGCTGCCTGAATCACCCGCAGTGGCTTCTTCTTCCTCTTCTTCCTCTTCCGCCGCCGTGTCCTCGGAGCCTCGGGGCAGGTGCTGATGAGGCACGGGCAACGGAAACGACAACACACCGGCCATCGCCTCAACGTCCTCAAACACATACACCACCCTGTCCACGTCTAGTTTCTGCGGTTGCGACGGCATGGTTTGCGCCATGTCCCCATCCTCGCCTTCCTCACTCGTTGCCCCATCAATCATCACCACACCCCCAGAGAGTATTCCCCGCAGCGTGCTGTCAGTTTGAATAAGTCCAATGGGGACCGCCACGATGTGCCGGTTCAGAAACATCGCTATGCTGCGTGCAACGCTGCTCTTTCCCGTCCCTGGCATACCATGCAAAAGAACAACAAGCTGATGTGCGACGCCTGGCAGGACAAACTTTCCCTGTTTCTGCTTGAAGTCCTCAAGAAGCGCCAACAGTTCTGCCTTCTGCCTAAAAAAAAGATTGCGGAAGCCACAGCCATTTGTAGAAAGAACAAATCGCCTCATATGCAGACACTGTGAGCATTCTGATGGTTGCTGTGCCCACACCCCAAGGGCATGACGCCACTCGGAGGCGGAGGGAACAAAGTAGTACCGCTCCGCTGGCTCAGCAACAATGGGAATGTACCACGCATACGCCCTTCTAGCAAAGGCCATGACGCGTTCCTTCCCTGCTTCGCTCTTGTCCGTGCACCGTAGTATGGCCTGTTGCACAACCACCCTATCAACCTCCTTTCCATCCCCGGTGGCATTTGACGGGTCTCGCATCTCATTCAAAGACCTCGAGCCATCATGGTTACTAGCAGTCGTCGAAGTAGTACCATCAGAATCAACACGACCACGACCAGTAACCTCGTGTTCTTCCTTATTCTGCGTCCTTTTAAAGGCATGCCCCCTCCGTGCGGCATCGAAGTTGAGGGGAATAAAGACATCCATGAGAGGCTTCGGTCCACGACGGGCGACGAGCTTGCACTCCCTGAGCGCCGACACTGGCACCAGCTGCTGTTGGAAGCAGACCGTCAGTCCAGGCTCCACCTCCACCACGTCACCGTCTACAGGCCGCATGACAAGACGAAAATTACTCCGCAATGTTTCTGCCGCACTCATTCGGCAGCCAGCCATAGGAGCATCCGGCCTATAGCAATATTCTGCCGTGCGCAAGAGTCTATCTGGCACCTTCACCGTGCGTTCGTTGTTGGCATTGTCCGTGGTAGTACCGTCCTGCTTTGCCTCCTTTTCACACTCAAGCAAGTGCGACACATACCGCTCTATTGCGAGCACCAGCAGCTCGTTATCAAACACAAACTCCTCCGGTTGATTCATGAATACATCAACAGCCGCGGCATCCTCGGTGGTGTCCATGGCGAGGAAGTTCCTCAGCTTCTCCGAAATCCAAGAGGGCCACGTCTCGGTCAAGAGCCGGCAGGCATACCTCGCAAGAGACAGAATCAGCAGCGCAAAGGCCGCATCCATCAAGACCCCGTAAGAGTGGGTGCTGCTGTCCCCACTCACACCGCTACTGTTCGTCAGCGCCTGCAGCAGGTTGAAAAGCGTCGTTGCGGTGCTGAGGGGAAGAGGGCCCTCGCCATGAACGTAGTCAACAAGCCATGGGCCGCCCATCCATGACCAAAGCGACATGGCGCACGCACGCAAATACGCAAGGAAAAACCCCTCCCCCTCCTCCCCCTCCCCCCGGC